ACTTTGCACCTGGAACGGTGGTCAGTCAGATTGGCCAGATGCTCATCAGCTGCCTGCAAATGACTCAAGAGCGGCAAGCACGTTGCTGCAGAAAAGAGAATACTACATTGACGCAGACTCTACGTTCAAGCTAGGACGCAAATTTACATATTTACTGTCTCTTAGCTTTAATACAGTGCAAAAGAGATAAGGAAATCACTCTTCTAACCGCTGACTCTTATCTGGTATTTTTCTCAGTAACAATAACAGAGCATGCGTTCTCAGTTGAGAATGTTGTTTACATAAACAGCCAGAAGATGAGAAAAATTGCGGAAGAAATGTTTTGCATTCGCTTTCGACTCTGAATTCCGCAAGAAGTAGAAAAAAAGCTCAAAACTTTTTCCTTAAAAAAAAGTAGATTTGGGTGTTCTAACACGCAAAGTCATGATCATAGATTGCAGACAACAGTGATAAGCAGTGGTTTCCATCGTAAGTCTTTTCCAATCGGGTTGAGGCGAAAAGCGGCTTGAAATAGCGCACGATGAACTGACATGTTCAAAGTTTGCAAGTGATCAAAGAGGGTGAGTTGAGGAAGGTTTAGTCGCAATTACTTATTCAGATTATAGACACAAAATACATAAGCGCGGGTGCGCACCATGTTATTTTTCGCCATACCCGATTGGGATCAGATACATTATGTCCAAGCTGAAACAGCTAGCAAGACCTACCATTTCGAATGATTCGATTCAATTAAACCATTGCTCTCACAGAATTATCAATTCTTATTGCAAGTTTATGCTTAAAGGCTGGTTGGACCTAACCTTAAGCTCTTGAAGACTCGGTTTTTTGTAGTGTACTAAGAAATTTTGAAGTACTGCAAAAGTAACTGCTTTTCTCAAACTTATAGATTTACGTAACTTGAAAGCAATGCAAAGTTGAATTTCCTTGTACACCTCTCTTATGAAAATCTGGATCGTAGATGTGATGCTTACATGGTGAAGCGGAGCAAAACTCCGCTCACATACCTTCCGCGTGATACAGTGCACCCGCGAGTCGTTGACATGACAGGCTTAAACATCAAAAGAACTCTATCTGCTTCCTTCATCCATCCATTTGGCAATGAAACTCACCGACTAATGTTGAGATCAACTTGCAAATAAAAAGCAAGAAGCCATTTTTAGATGATCTTTCGGAACAGATCGGTAATTTTGACGGAGAAAACTTTCTAGCTCGGAAATAATCAAATTTTTGAATTAGTTGCTGCACATATGAACGCTTGAGATTTGTATTACCGGTGCCAACTGATATGAGCTGTATCTCTGTGTAAGAATCTTCTCAGATTGTTGAGTAAAACCTCGTAGAATTGCCGATCTAATCAACTATCTCTTTTGCCATCGTTTTCGTATAGAAAACACTTTTTTAACTACCTTTCGAGCTATAGCGCATGGTTTGCACATATGCATGCCAAACAGTCCCATAGCATCGAAAAAAGTGGTAATACGGACTCAATTTTACACGCCAAAAGCTAAGTGGACCCGCTCATGCGCAGTTTTTGAGGGACTCACTCATCGGATCCACTTCTGCTTTTGCATAGAGAATCTGGGCGCTGGCAGAGTGCACTATGCAAAAAATTGCGGCTTAAGACCTTGTCTGCGACTCGTTCTATGATTTTCGTTACAGACAGACAGACAGACAGACACACACACAAAAACACGTAAACATCCTTAGCCCGTTATTATAAGGTCTTGATAGGGCAAAAGTCTAGGATCCGACTCTACAGTGTTGTAAATCACAAAGCTATTGATTAGATTCCACAAAGCTATTGACTAGATTTTGATTCCAAATTTGGGCCACATGATGCTGCGATCATCCTCTACAAATCACACTGAACCTAGCTAAAAAGTTGCCATATTTTTTGTAAGAGTTGGATTCATCAAAGTATTCTTTCGAAAACGCAAAGTAAAAATTTGCGAATATCATCTGCGTGACATTGGCTATTGTCTTTAAAATACGTTTGAAAGCTATAGGAGGGCAGCAGTATTGAATTTTTGGCTGTATTGCTTTCCAAGACCCTTCTACATAAGCAACTAGTTGGATTTGATCGAGGGAGCAATCTAAATGTTTTTTTGGATTATGATTTTTCGCTGCCGTTCGCGCAATCGCATCCAGATTTTCCGTGGCCTTCACTTATAATTTCAGAAAATTTTTCTTAAATGTTTAAAAAATGTTTGGTGGTACGTTGTAGCGAAAAGCTTGCTCTATCATACTGCATATTTGCCTAGTGAAAGGCAGTTATCGTGAAGTCGTGTGACGAAATTCATCCGACTGCCTACGTGCCACGACAGGGCACGAAGGGCTGCATTGATGCCAAAAGAGGCAGTCTCGAAATTTAGCTGCAATGTACTTGTAAAGGTTCGATTCATGTGTGCACCAAACTATTTTTTCTAGGTACTTTCCTTTTCTGATTTTCTCCGAAAAAGTGCTAGGCTCCCAAACTTTTGTCCCACCCTGTAAAAATGTGCAAGTGGCGTTTTGTAAATAATTGAAAAAAATTTGTTTCGATTTTCAAAGATTCATATTAATCTTATAGCCACCCTTTTACTGAAATTTGGGGTTATGGGCCCGCAAACGTTTTGGGAGAAATTTCCCGGGATTTTCTTGTCCCCCCCCCCTCCCCCGAACGGAAACCTAGGACCACCAGTAGGTGTCTGTTTTCCAAGTTAGTCCAGCAGTCATACTGGGTCCAGTGACCATCTTATGGTAGAACTCTATCTTGAGAAGCTACCTTAAAGGCACCGTCCACCCAAAATGGAGGTTGGCGAGATTATGATGGCATACTAATGTGGGCCCCCTACTAGGCAAACCCCCAAGCTTCGCCGCAGAAGACTGTTTCTGAAGCGAGTAATCCGCTCCGGAAGTAACAAAAGTGGGCGGGGCGCCCCCGGTCGCCCGCCCGCTTGCATGCTTTATCTCGCCTGCACTTGTTGCAGAGAGTTTTTTGGGGGTTTCGCGGATTTTCGACTCCATATTTGGAATCAGGGCTTTCAGAAGGCCTGAAGGCGACAAAAACACTGAATTCGAGTTTGGTTGGACGGTGCCTTTAAGTAGATTTTTACCTCACGGAAGATTTGATATTCAACAAGCTACTTTGAGGTTAAAACCTACTTAGTACACGTAGGAAAATTCGAAATTTTTTCGAATATTCGGATATCAAATGATAATCGACAATCGAATTTTTCGATCATTCGACTATCGAATAATAATCGAAAATCGAAATTTTATACTCGAATATCAATAACCTTCGATTTTCTAATATTCGAATAAACTGAATGTCAGCGAGATGATTTTCAACGTAGCAATTCAATGGCTACAAGTGTAAGCAGAGTTGAATTTGAGTTGTACCATAAGCGAATCGTTATCTACCTCTGTGCGCAAAAAATTCCGCGTTTAACCGCCGCAGGGATACCATTGTCGCCTGCACTGAAACTCCAACATAACATCTGTATGTGGTGTTTGTATTCATTAACTGTACTGACAATTTTTTTACTCGCATCAGCTGCAAAACAATGCCTCCTGAGCAAACTCAAGCTCTGAAGAAAAACTATTTGTTTCCGTATCAGCTCAGGCGCAACGCTAAAGCCACGTGCCCCGTTCGCGGAAGTACCGTTTCAGCGTGTAATTGCAGCATAAATCGGAGATTGTCGCGCAATGCCCACGTGCTGCGGATGTGAAGTTGCTACGCAAAAGAGACACGTGGTCGACTTACAAGGGAATGGTCAGAAGTCGAAGTGGCTAAACCAAACAAGCTGTATACCATTCGATGCAGTATAAAACGATGACTTCGAATCTGTCTTTCTTATCTGCTTCCCGCTTCTGTGGACGAAGCTACAAGCAGTTTTATTGTGAAAAAATCGCACATAAAAACAGCAAAATTGAGCACATTGTTGCACTTTTAGCTCAGCTTTTTTCTTTAGAAATTTGAAGTAGGCTAGCTGCATGTTTTGGCCCAGCATTAAGGCGAACGTGGCTTTGCACGGCTAAATTTTCAATTTCACGCTTAATTTCTTAGCAAAATAATGGTCTTTAATGGCTTGTAGCTTCGTCCACAGAAGCGGGAAGCAGATAAGAAAGACAGATTCGAAGTCAGCGTTTTATACTGCATCGAATGGTACACAGCTTGTTTGGTTTGGCCACTTCGACTTCTGACCATTCCCTTGTTAGACCGTAAATTACTTAGTAAAGCAACCATCTCCAATCTCCATCTGCTCCTCAAGACACAGTTTGCCTCTATGGAACTATCAAAAAGCTAAGGCTAAAGAATACTGCGTAAGAGTGTAATTTGTAATGAGGTTGGACGAGGTATATATATAGTCAGTACGATAACCGTCTAATATCACTTGACCACGTCACCAAAATATCCACTGCCACGCGGGACTTTAGAGCGGAGTTGTGCACGAGGAGATGTTACCTCAAACTTGGGTAATTAAACCTTTATTAACAACTATAAAATTCAAATAAACGATAATGCACACAAAATAAAATACCAGCTTAACATGAGATTCTGATTATGGCAAACGTTAGGGATAAAATACTTGATATGTTTTTGTCTACCTGAACCATAAGCAAGTAAAGGCACTAAGAATGTAAGTAAATATAAGACAACCAAATAAGATGAAGCAATGACAATCAAATGACGCTTGAGTCAAGAACGAAAGGAGGAGGTCGCCAGCTGCGGCCCCCCTTACTTTTTACTTGATTCTCGGCGCAGCTGCAGCGTACAAAGAAAGAGCTTGCCGCGCACTCAGCTTTCAAAGGCAATCAGAAATGAATCATCAAACAGAAAATACAGAGAAAATATAGAAATTATCGGTCGAGTTTCTCGACACTCCGGGCCTGCTTGATGATCGTTATTCTCCATCAATCGTCTCCTTCGCCTTCGTCCTCATATTCTGCTTCTAGCGTCTTCTTTTTCGGCTAGGTTAAGAGCAGCAATTTCGGCCAAGCAGCTGCCCAATGAATGCTCATAGACGTCGTTGTAATTTGAGCACTGCTTTGGCATCATCATAATGGGTACCGGTGGCTGATGAGCCAACTACATAAGATCGTCTTGAAGCCATCTCCTTGAGAAATCCAGTTTGTCAGAACTCTTCGGTAGAACGATGGTTTCGCTGACGTTAAAATCGACTGACTCAGTTTCAGCTGGCGGTGGTGGAGGCGGTAGAACGATATCAACGGGTGAAGGATGATGATAAGTTGCCTTTTTCAGAGAATAATATCGCAAAATCTTAGAGGAGTTTCTCATGAAGCTTTTCTTTGATTTCTGACTGCAATAGGCAGAAAGGTCGGCATAGGAGACGAAAAAACAGTAGTATGAGCAGCATAATTCCTTTAAGAAAGCGGAATCCACAACACACTCCTTGCAGTGAAAAACAAGCGTAGGTGATTCCCAAAACGATTAGTAGCGCGATTACTGCTACTATCAGCGTTTTGTACCACTGCAGGAAGACTTCCGCGATGTGCCAAAAATCTGGCCACTGAGTTTCTGCTGCTTGGTCTCCGTTTCCAGACAGCCATTGTGTCATCATTCCGTGAGCTGTTTGTGTGAATCTGAGAATGCCTCCTACTTCAAAAGTTGTTACAATTGTTCCACAAGACACTGAGCATGTCATTTGCACTCTCGCTCTATCCAGGCTGAACTGAAGTTCTGAAAGCGCACCTTGTTGGTCGCAGTCCACAGTGAAACTGGCAGTCCCGCAGATAATTTCTGCTTGAGTTTGCTTTGGTGCCGTACACTTGACTGTAGCTTTTGCACCTCTAGCGCATTTGTAGCAACCTGTTAGAATTGCATCCGCGATTGTGCAGACTGTGCTATCCACCACCACGTTTGTTCGTACATTTTCTTGGATGGTTACGATGATTTCCGCCGTCGTCAAGCTTTGTACCTCAGCTTTTACTTGTCCTTCGTCATCTTGCTTGAATGAAACCGCTGGAAATATAGCTGGCAGACGATTTCCGACGTCCCCAAACATCTCAGAGATGCTTACGTCTCGGCATTTGCAGTTAGCTTGGACTTCCGCTGGTGCACATTGGCAGTTGTCTATAACCGTGCAGTCCAGTTGTTCTGCTGCAGTTTTGTTGGTGCACCAAAGAGGTGGTTTCATCACGGAATTCCAAAGTGCCGTGTTATTCCCATCGGTGATGAAGGCCGTGTTTAGCAGCGGAATTGGTGGGATGGTTACCGAGGTTAGTGTGAGAGTGAACGCGTTCCAGATGATGGGTACATTGGGAACCATGATTGCCGTAAATATGCGTGTCACTCCTTGTATTGCATCAAAGTCTGTGAACTTGACTTTGGCTGCCAACGTCCAGCGATTGCAGTGGAAAATTTCGAATACTTGTGGGGATACTGGGGTGAGGTAAATGCGATAGAAAAGGCAGCCTGAACTCCAATAGAAACAATCGCACCCTGGTCCTCCACAGGATTCGACGCAGGCCGTGATTCCTGGATAGTGATTCCCTTTCTCTAGCTTCGGTATGAGGCTTGTGGCGTTTATCGACGCGCATTTGCTCCCTACGCAGGAGCCTGTGTGCGGGCATCTTTTGCTGTCCACCACATTGCAGACAGTGTCGCGAGTGTACATTTCGTGCTCTTGTTCACAGGCAAGACTGAGCAGTTTCCACGATGCCCTAACCTCATGGATAGTCGAATTGTTCTTTATTATCCTGAAACATGCCTCTCTTTGAAAGGGTTGATTTTGAGGACTTCCGATACGTGAATCTTGCAAATCTCGGTTCCATTTGCCTTTGTGCACACGGCAGACTTGTGCGAGAAGAGATTCACTAGTTGACATCCCTCTGCTGTACCGACTGTCATGCTCATTACGGCGACAATAGCAAGCAATTCTATAAGTTCCGATGCTCGGACTTGCTGTCGTCTTCGTGCTCGTTGTAAAGGTCGGCACCCACTGCGAACAATGCTCCTGATGCCGTTCCACAAAAGGCGTAATGCGATCCGACATGGCTTCCCGAGCGTGAGCGGCACATAGCAGAATACGTAGCATCCAGTTATGAAGAAGTAGATGACTATTGTAGTCGCTACGATCGCTCCAACAGGCCAGCATTCAGGATTGAAAATGACCGCTGAACAGAGTATGCAATCGATCTGGTCGCAGAACGGAGTTGGCGGGCAGGTAGTTTCTATTATCCTGATCGTTTCATTGTACAGAAGTTTCCACTGGACAAACTGTTCATAGAGCGTTACTTGTGGCGGAAAATGGATTGTCTCGTTTGTCATCGGCACCGAAATTGATTTGCAATAATCTTCCGCACAGACCTCATATGGGACAGTCTCCATGGAAAGCAACTCAACTCCTCCTGGAATGCATTTAATTGAATGTGTTTTCTTCGCTAGTACCTTCGCCAATGCATTCGCATTTCCGCAAAATGCGCTCAGAAGACAGATCAGTAGGAGCGCGTTCGTCTGGAAGTGTTTCACTTGTATGGACATCGCGTTTATTCCTTTGTAATCCACTCTCCGATTAGGTCGCAGATCATATCGCGAGGTCTGTGCTTCCTCCAGTTGATTGTTACTGTCGGTGCTCGCGGTAGCGGGTTCTTGCGCTTGTTGTTCCCCCTCTTCTAATTCTAGTGGTACAAGAAGGTTGAGAGGCCGGCGGATCTTTCTTTGAGATGGGAGTTTCACCAGAGCTTCCCTTATAACTCCTTCGGTGTTTTTGACAAGTTCTTCTATTCGTCCGACTTTCCAGGAATGTCTTGGCTGGACTGGATCACACAGCAAGACAACTTCGCCTACCTTCGGAGTATAGTTCGAACTTCTTTGACTTCCTACTTGGCGTTGATGTTTCTCTCGGAGAGCCGTCAAGTATTGATTTCGCCACAGCTGCCAAAATTTCTCGGTCAGTTTGCAGGAAGATTGCAAAGCTTGAACTGCTTGAGCCTTTGTACGAAGCAAGGCTTTTTCTGCTGGTGGCAAGTAAGATGGATCCTCTCCTTCATCATTTACCGCATCCAGTGGATAGGATATCCTCATCTCATTTTGTAAGAAGTCAGTTGGCCTCAATATCCTTTCATTTGCGAAATCCGATTCCACGTATAACAGGGGTCTTGTGTTCAGGATCGCTTCGATTTCGATGGTAACCGTGGTTAGCTCTTCAAAGCTTAGCACGCCTTTGCCCAGAGTTTTGTAGAGCGTTTGCTTCACGGACTTTATCAGACGTTCGTAGAAGCCTCCTTGCCAGGGTGCGTATGGAGTGTTATGCCACTCAATTTCTCTGTCGAGTATTTCACGCTCAACAGCGGGATCGCTTTCAGCTGCTTGAATCGCTTCTCTGAGTATAGTTTCTCCTAGCATGAACGTGGGAGCGTTATCACTGGTGATTGATCGTGGAATTCCCCTTCTTGCAAAGAAGCGTCGCAACATCCAGAGGAAGGCTGTTGTTGACATATCGGAGACTATGTCCAAGTGGATTAATCTTGTTGTCATACATGTGATTATGCTTCCGTAGCATTTACCCTCTGTTCCATCAGGTAGTGCAATTGGCAAGGGTCCGTAGTAGTCCAATCCGACATGCTCAAATGGTCTAGATTTCTGCACTCGTCTTGCAGGAAGATCCGTTTGCTCTGGATACTTGTAAGGCAGATTGTTGAACTTTTGGCAGGGTATACATCGCCTCACAAACCGCGTGACCTGTGCTCGCAGTTTTGGTATCCAATACTGTCGACGTATGTTCGCCATAGTGTGGCTTACGGATAGATGTCCTCTGCCGTGGCAGTCGTCGATGATTCTTTCCGCCAACATCGAGTTTTGTAGGATGATCAACGGAATTTTGGCGTCATCATCTAGGTCGCTGTTTCCCAATCGTCCATAACATCGGAAAAGGCCTTCGGCATCTTTCTTGATATTCAGCCGTTGCATGGAGTTGATGACTTTTGAGGTTATTTGCTGTTGATGAAGCCTTATGAGCAGCTTTCCTGCGATGAGTATCTCCTTTCCGTTTAGCCTTGTTCCCACGGCGTTCCTCGGTACGGAAAGTAGCGTAGATAATAATATGGGTGACTGGTTGTTGGTATTTGCCTGTCCTACAACGTTCCTGACGAAGCGAAGGATCCAGGCTACAATGCGCCTTGTTTGCTGCCATGTGCGTCGCTGCAGCAATGACAGTACTGCCGTGTCTCCCTCGCTTTGGCACTCTTCGGCAGTTCTAGTTGCAAGAACTTGTTTTTCCTTCACTGAGACTTCCTCTCCGTCCCTGACGGTGCTTTCCATTGTGACGAGCCAATCGCTTTGTGACCATTGCTGCTGTGGCTTTTGGAGAAATTCCGGACCTGTCCACCACATGTGGTTTTGCAGTTCTTCGAGATTTAGTCCTCTTGTGCCTGCGTCTGCTGGATTATCTTCGGACGTGACGTAGTGGAAATGAATTGTGTATCCCTGGTCATTGAGATGCTTCAAAATCTTGTTTATCTCAAGCAGCCTTCGGAATATCACTGGTCCAACGTCCTTCAAAGGGTTCTTTCTTATCCAGCTTAGCACGATCTCTGAGTCAGAAAATACGAAGACTTGATTGACTTGTAGCACTGATTGCAATTGTGTTAAGATTGAATTCGTTATCCGTAACGCTAACGTCACTGCATCCAATTCCCGTTTCGGTATAGTCGATTTTCCTCTGAGTGAAGGGAGTTTCCCTTTTGCCATCAAAAGTTGCGTGGAATTGGATCCTAACCGTAGATAACTGCATGCTGTGATAGCTTCCTCGCTTGCGTCTGCGAACGTTATAAGAATAGCATCCGTCATTCTTGTGCAGACGAAGCGTGGCAGAGTTTTTGTAAAGCCATGCATGCCTTTACAAATCTTCTTCCATTTTTTGTAGAGATCGGGCGGCAAGGGCGTATCCCAATCACAACTTATCTGCCATAGCTCTCGCAAGAAAAGCTTTGCTCTGTGCATCAAAGGAAGCATCCATCCCATCGGGTCGTAGACTGAAGCAATCATGCTGGCAACCTTTCTTTTAGATACTCCCGAGTGATTTTCCATTGCACATGAGACATCTATGGTGTCTTCACGGGAGTTCCATCTGATACCTAGAACTTTCGGCTTGGTTTCCGAAGATGCGTCTTTCGTGTCGAATTTTGATGCGACGTTAGCATTGTTGGTCACATACTCACGGAGATTCATCTTCAGATCGTTGAATATCTTTTTGGTTCGATGGTAAATATGATTCGCCTCTTCTTCGGTGTCGGCCGTCATCATGAGATTATCGACGTACATATTCTCCTTGATCTCCGTTGTGAGAAGCCGATCTTCGGGATATTGGTCGAGGTGAAAATGTGTGGTTGCTGCTAACAAAAAGGGTGACGTGACGAGGCCGAAGGTGACGCGTGTGAATCGGAGGGTCTTGATATTTTCCGAGGTAGGTGGTGATCTGTGGTTTCGTAGCCACAGACATCTGGTAGCATCTCTATCAGCTTCATGAAGTCGCACTTGTAGAAATGCCTTTTCCACGTCCGAAATTATTGCGATTTTTCCTATTCGGAAACGTAACAGGAGGCCATAGAGTTGTGGAAGTATGACTGGCCCTCTGTGTAACACGTCGTTCAGCGATGGTGAGGCTTTGTAGTGCGCTGAAGCATCAAATACGATCCGCAATTTTGTAGTCGTTTTCTGCGGGGTAATCACTGCCTGGTGGGGGACATAATGAATGTGTTCTCCCAAAGCGACGGAGTCTTCTAGTATTTCTTCCAGTATGTTTGCTTTGAGTTGTTCTTCGAAGACTTCGTTGTACTGTTCGAGCAGTTTTTCGTCCTTCTGCAACGTATTCCAAACGCTTTCCAATCTTCGCAGTGCGATGGCCTTGTTGTCAGGGAGCTCGAATGGTACTGCCTTCCATGGTAAACGCACGTAGTAACCATCCTCTCTTTTTTCGATGGTCTCCTTGAATTGGTTCCAAACCTGCTGGTCGATTTTTTCTTGTGCCACTTTTTCGGAGCTCATGAATTCTTCCGTTCCTGCGAACTCCATGACAAGATACTTTTCAAAGGAATCTTCGTCCTCGCCTGATTGTGTTGTTGGCGTCTGCACCGTTAGTATTGTGATTTTGCTATCCATTGTGCACGCAGCTTCCCACTTTGCCGTCTCGTCTTTCTGAAGTAACTTTTCTTGGGGCCTTGTGACCGTGCCTGTGACCAAGTTCCCTAGACGAGTAGACAGTAGGTAAAGTCCTGATGGCAGGCAGACGCTTGGCTGATTCTCCTTGATCAATGGCCATAACTGATCGCAACCTAATAAAATTCTTGGTTGTATTGTTGTGTTGTTCTGCCAGTCTGTCATCGGAATGTTCTGCGCTTTCATGTATTCCAGGTCTTCTTGTTCCCATGGTGCGCAATCTAGTGGCGCGGTCAATACATCATGAGTGAAGAGATTCAGATCGAGAGTGTGTCCTTCTGAATCCCATCCTTGGAGGAGCACGCGCCTGCATAGATTTTCCTTCACTTCTTCTGTGCCAAAGGTGTGAATGGGGAGCCTCGTAGTCTCGATTGTGGAAAGTTCCAGTTCATTCGCCAAAGAGCTTTCAATGAAAGACACCTCTGCTCCGCTGTCCAAAAGCACTCCAACTTTTTCCAGCGCCTTCGTAATGGGATTCATCACTGTAAGCACTCCTGCAGGAAGGAAGGTTTTGTTCGGCTTTCGACCTTTGTGTACTGGTTGCAATTCCAGTGCAGACACCGCTTCTGTCTTGGAGTTGTCTTCCTGGAGGGCGTTTACTTTTCTTGTTTCTGTGTGCTTTAGGTGTCGCTCCGTGTCTCGGGCTTTGGGTTTTTTCCCTTCGCTCACCGGTGGACTTGTCTTCGTTGGTGCTCCTTTGTCTGCCATAATGTCACCTCTGAAACAGCATGATGTGTGGTGGGGTCCTCCACACCTGAAGCACATCCGCTTTTTGCAATTAGCCGTTGAGTGTTGTGCTGAGGCGCAAATGAGGCAGAGCTTGTTATTGCGTAGGTAGTCAGAGCGTTCTTGTGGAGTACTGTACTTCTTGCAATCCGCTGACTTGTGTCTTCCCTCACAATACATGCAAGTCCCTAAGTACGTGTTTATTCGGTCAGATCGTCTTCTATCCGGCTTGGTAGGTGTTGAGTCCGGTTTGGTGTTCTTCATGTAGACCGCCAGCATTTCGTCTGTGGAGATTTCTTCCTCAAGATACTGTATAAGCATGTCGAGGTTGAAGCTGACTCCAGAGTTTTTTGCGGCTTGTTTCCGTACTAGTACTTTGCGCTGTACCGTATCCGGGAATTTCGTCAGAACTTGCTGGTACATCCACTGGTTGTCCACTTGTACTTCTTTCTGCCGCAGCTGCATGATGATGACTTGCAGCTGCTCGAAGAGTGTTCGCTGGTCACGAATGGATGCCGAGTGCAGGTGGCACTTCCCGAGTTTTTCAATAAGATGCGTGACGAGTTCGTCGCGATCACCGTACTTGTGTTGAAGAAACTCGATGGCTTTTGAATAATTTCCTTTGGCGACTTGGAACTTCTTGATTAGTGCGAGAGCATCTCCTCGAAGAGCTTGCAGTAAATAATTGAATTTGCACAACTCCGGTATATTTCTTGAATGGACATTCTCGTTGAACAGTTCCCAGAAATTGTCCCACTCCCATATGTTTCCTTGAAATATAGGTACGGGAAGTGTGGGAAGATCCAACCTTTCATGCGGAGGCTGTGATGGCGTTGGTACCTGGACTGATCCACTGTGTTGGTTGTGCTCTGGCTCTGCTTTTACCACAATGAAAGCGTGAACCCTTGCCTTCAGCACCAGTAAGTAATCCGTGGCCGAAATGAGCGCTTTTTCCGCTTTTGCTGAATATTCCTCAAAGTCTTGTTTGTCCTTTTCGGTCGGGTAGTCCAGCTCCGTGAATTTGGTAGCGTACTCCGTCATTGTTTGTTTGATGTTGTGCGTCACTGTATCTAAAGCTCCTATTGCTTCGCTGAGTCGCTGGAGACTTTCCCTTGTGTATTGAGAAGCTGATTCTCCTTGCGCTGCGGCTACGTTAAGGGTCTCAAGTTCCTCGCCCTTGAATCTTGAGATGATAGTGTCCAGCTTATTGCAATAGTGAGTCAAAAGGCGTTTGTCCGTAATCAAATGTGCAGCCATAATTAATTGCAGTGACCAACAATGCTTCAGGACAGACAAGGAAAGTTTTCTGACTTCAGTAGATATGATATTCGTGGAGTGCGATCAGTCTTGTGCGAAAAAATTCTTCAAATTGTCGATATTGATGTGACAAGAGCGGATCAGGCAAAAACTCTTGTTTTGTTCCGGAAAATGAGAGCAAACTAGAGCGGATACAGCAAAAGCTCTAGTGTATGTTCCAAGATGTCCACAATCAATTGTTGTACTTCACCGACCTGAATCCGTGTAGTCGATGCACCATGTAAAAAATGGACGGGTTATATATATAGTCAGTACGATAACCGTCGAATACCACTAGACAAAGACACCAAAATATCCACTGCCACGCGGGACTGTAGAGCGGAGTTGTGCACGAGTGGGGTGTTACCTCAAACTTGGGTAATTAAACCTTTATTAACAACTATAAAATTCAAATAAACGATAATGCACACAAAATAAAATACCAGCTTAACATGAGATTCTGATTATGGCAAACGTTAGGGATAAAATACTTGATATGTTTTTGTCTACCTGAACCATAAGCAAGTAAAGGCACTAAGAATGTAAGTAAATATAAGACAACCAAATAAGATGAAGCAATGACAATCAAATGACGCTTGAGTCAAGAACGAAAGGAGGAGGTCGCCAGCTGCGGCCCCCCTTACTTTTTACTTGATTCTCGGCGCAGCTGCAGCGTACAAAGAAAGAGCTTGCCGCGCACTCAGCTTTCAAAGGCAATCAGAAATGAATCATCAAACAGAAAATACAGAGAAAATATAGAAATTATCGGTCGAGTTTCTCGACATAATTTATTAAACTTTATTTCTTATGTTAGGCCTCAGACAGAGTACACGCAATTTGATTGTCGCGATTCAATCGCTACAGACAAATGTTACGAGTTCATTGCAAGCCGATCTTCTTGCATTTCGGTTGTGATAGTTTTCCAACACGACTAATCGAAATTAACTCTCACAACCGAAATACAAGAAGGTCGGCATGCAATGAACTCGTAACACTTGTCTGTATCGATTGAATCGCGACGATCAAATCGCGTGAACTCTGTCCGAGGCCTTAAGGTTCAATGTTTCCATTGCACGAAAGCGCTATAGCATGACACTTTTCAATGGATTCGTGAAAAGTGCGTAATAGTTTACTGTTTGGAAAGATTCTGCACATTGAATTGAATAGCTCACTTCAAATCGCATCATCATCTAGGAGGAATGGAGGTATGGTACATCATTGCAAATTTTAGTTCGCAATATTGATATGCCATTCAATCACAGTAGTGTCTTTATCAAATCGTATAGAATTCAGTTTGAAGCGGCTTCACTGTTGCTAAAAATTTTGTAATCAGCACTCACATAAAGGGTTGAACCAAACTGCGCAGCGCGCACGGCGTACGCCCACGTGCATGAAAATATGCCGCGAACGCTGCTTACGTCGCGTACGCCCGTTCGTAGCGCAGTCTGGTCCAACCCAAAGGCAGCGTCCAGGCAAAATACAAACAATATTTCACCCGCTTACCTGGGCTTATTCTTCCCGTTGATAGCGAAAATGCAGCTTGCAGAGTACGAAATGGAAAACGGGTTATTCCAACAGCTGTTGATTTTGAGTACGGACGCTGGCCGCCGTGGTTGACGCAAAGTCGTGGTGGGACCCTACGTTTTCTGTGTGTGACATACGGACTCTGGCTATGAATTGAAGGGGCGGACAGTTCCGATCATCACTTCTGAAGCTGTTTTCTCGCTTCGCAAGCAAAGTAGTGGAATGCCAATTGGGCAAGAGTTTTATCAGGGTGGGAGTTCCTGTACGTTACAATTTCATATCTGCCTGAACGCTGTCTTTAAGCGTCACTGCGCTGCAAGAACAGCATGTTCACAAATTAAACTCAGTATCGCCCTCAGAACATATATTGGACTCGATCTGTAATGTAAACAATGCGTCAAAATGTATCCCATTCATTATCGTATTTGGGGCACATAGTACTCTAACACAGCAGAATTTGTGGACTCAAGCCTAGGACAAGCTACTAACAACAAACTTGCATGCAAATGCAGTCTTCTTCCATTAAGTTTTCATAACGTCTTCGGTTTCGACATGCAAAAGAGTTCAACTTTACTTCGCTAATATTTTTCGATCATACAGTTGACGTATATTACGTACCTTTCAGCAACTGGAACTCACTGAAAAGCTTACCTAAAAAAATTTACCAAGCAACTTTGTGAGAATTGATGCTAATGTCCTCAGGTGGATTTATTAAAAAGATACAGCTTCCATCAGCAAAGCTCGGAAGAAGAAGAGAGGGTAAGTTCTTGCAAGGGTGTCACGATAGCACAAAGATAAACTAGTGAGCTTTTAATGACCAGTGGGCGGTTGCGCAGGAGACAGCAAAGACTGGCCGCCTTGCGGGGAGTGGGGGGGGGGGGGGGGGGGAGGCCTCCAAACTTCTTCGCTTCTCCAATCTCTTGCTTCCCACTTTTCTTGTCTGGGATTAGGCCACTCGTTATTATCAGTTTCTCAATATTCAGAGGAAAGACATAGCCTACAGTCTATCAGAACAAGCGCAACGTTGGAGCCGCATGCCGCTTACGCAAGCGCACCATTTGAGCGTTCAAATTAGCCGCCTCGATCGGGAACGCTTCGCAATGCCCACGCCCTACGGATGCGTTGCTGCTACGAAAAAGGGAGCACCTGGTTGACACTGACTGTAGATCCGGCAAATTCACTCATTTTCAAGGAAATTTAGCTCAACAACAGATAGTCAGATAATCGCCGGGGGCAGGCGGTCCGCAAACTCGCGCTTTTCTGCAGGCGGTCAGCAGAATTTTTGGGCGTGGCCAAATCTTCAGCGGGCGGCACTTCCTTTACGGTCGCACGTTCTGCCAGCGGGCAGCGATACAGCATTTTTTGCAAACGCTCAACAAATAATTTCTTTCAGCGAGCGCTGGCCAAATTTTCAGCAAGCGCTCGGACTCTTTTAACGCAGTTTCGTTCGTACGTCGAGCACAGGTAAGACTCTGTGTGGCAGAGGTGTCGCCGTTGGTTTAATTAATCAAGTTTGAGGTACTTTCTCTACTTTTGGAAAGTACCTGAGGGCTGCGCGGTCCTCCACAAAGGACCGTGCGGCCCCCGAAAATTTTGCATATTCTCGCGAAAAGTCCGCGAGAATGCGGCCTCTGCGCCGCAGCTAATTTATAAGGTAACCGCGATTGTTCTGCAAGCATTCGTCTAAAATTTCGCTAAAATTATACTAACTTTTTTGCAAGCGGACCGCAAGAAATCAGCAAATTATCTTTCCGGTGCGCGCTTGCTCAAAATTCGCACGGCCGCCTGCCCCCGGCGATTATCTGGGTATTTGTGGCATTCGGCAAACAACCACTAGGTCAAAAGCATTTCTGTAACATATGGCAAAAAAACGCATGTCTACATCTATATCCACATGAGCACTTTACTTTTCTGAGCTCTTTATCGACTATTTTCTCGTGATTTCAATTTCAAAGCTCCACAGAAGTTTTTACGGCTGTCTACCATTGTTACTCTCTCATGTCAAAGTGTCGGAGGTCGCTCCCGACGAGTGATATAAAACCGAAGAGCTGTACAGATAAATTGTGCGACTAACGAAAATCTGAGCAGTCCATAGTAAAGATTTAACAAGCATGTAATAGTAGAACATCGTAGGCACTCCAACTCGAAAAAAGTGTCATGATCACCGCTCGCATATTTTAACACACTTGGCATGCGCTGCATATTTCAACACAGCAATCGGAGGAAGAGCACCCTAGGTGTCGTTGTACTCCCATGTGCGCTCTCCGTCTTGTTGCGTCATCATTACACTGCCGCTTCTCTCAAAAATAAGAATTTCTGTGATAGGTTTTCAATACAATGAAGCCATGCAGGGGCAGGGGACCAATCTAGCCCTTCGCTTTTTTATTTTCGACTTTATATCACAGGAAAGGATTACCAAAGAAGTTGGCATTAAGAGCGAAGAAGTCGACCTTGGACTCGACCTCTCTGAGACCGTAGAGGTACTGATCGTTATAATTTGTCTTCCTGAAGCTTGCGTTACAGATGCGTTTGAAGTGTTCTCAATCTTGCAAACGCTAAAAGGTTTGAGAAATCCGGATGACGAAGTCTCGATATGCTTATATCTTAATTACCTGCCAATTAATGTCTAGGACTTTTATTTGACTGATATATAATAGGAGTAAACCTCCCTCGTGTTAAGAATTTTTTTGGTTTATTCTGCCGTTCATATACTTCGGCAACTTGAAGCACTCAAAACTACATAGGAGTACACTTATTTGTATAAGATTTGGGCAAGTTTCAGTGTAGGTGTGGATATGGACATCGCTGGTGAAACTGTTGTGATTGAAGAACAGCTTTTGAGTTCATCTCCAGAATGATCACCAAGTCTCAGTGCCATATGTGTCTTGGAAGACCTTCTGTTCTCAAAACGTTTTACGCCAATCTACCCTAGCATCACGGATGCAGTGAGGATGTGATTCAATAAGTAAAGAATGCCACAAAGAAAACTATCTATTGGGGCATAAAAAGCTAGCCCGACAACGTCTGAGAAACATGCGCACATATCCTTTTTAGCGCAAGAGGCTTGAGAAAACATAAGAAGATGGGAAAAATTGAGGACAGTGACGCAAAGATATCAATGCTTTTGCATTTTGAATTCGCTCTGAATAGTTATGTTGCAGCTGAAACATTCAATCAGTGGCCAGCAGAAGGGAACACATAACTGGTTTGTTCCAAAAACAAAAAGTTTTCGGAATCTTGCGTTGCACTCTACTGAACACCATAACCATGGAGACACCAGTTTTGAACCGATCGCCAAAGCTTCTCATTCACGGTAAATTTCTAGGCCTATTAGCTTAATGTTTGTTTATCACCAAGCTTCCAACGTTTAGTTGTGGAGGAAGAACAATGAAGATGAAACATGTTCGAAATTGGTGCACAGAGCTGTAAAGAGGGAA